TCCCCCCTGGGGGGTGATTTCTCGCTTTCTGTCTCTATGTCTCTCTCTGTCTGTCTGGCGAGCGCACGCGCCCTACAGTGAAAATCTCTCCAAAAAAAAAAAAAAGGAAAAGGAAAAAAAAAGGCAGTGTTTATAACATTAAAAAAAAAAGCCTCCTTGCATTGTTGTTTTGATCAGTTGTTTGTATTTACTGCTTCAGACTTTTACCACATACTAACATTGCACAGTATATGGTTCAAATTTGTGCTACAGAAACACTACATACTGTATGTCTGATCTTCAAAGTTGTTTGAACTATTGGCAATTATTAATCTTATTAGTGTTAAAACTGTACATGGTTAAAACTGTACATGTCAGTTTATTTATTTATTTATTTTAATTTTATTTCTTCCATAACAGAGAGGAAGGAAAAAGACAGAGGGAGGCAGGCAAGCACCTCCAGTAGAGTCTTCATGCTGAGAGCTACCCCAGCCTCAGCCAGCAGTCTTTGATTTTAAATAAAGAAATGTTAAAATTAGTGTTACTGCTTTTTCAGAACTGTTATTAGTCTTAGAGTAAACTAAATAACTCCAGTAATGGGGGTCGGCAGGTTGAGTAGTGGTTGAGGCACTGGACTCCTACATGGCCATTTGTGATTTGGGTCCTGGACCCGGCAGCTTGAAATCATGCTGGAAGCATGTGCGTGTGTGCCCAAGATCCCAGGAGGATGGAAGAGAAGGGATAGTGGTGTGGCCATTTTCCCTGGGGGTGACTTCTCACTGTCTCTCTCCTGCCGAGTGCAAGTGCCCTATGGCAAACTCCTGCTTCCCTCCCCCCCCACACACACAAAAAAAACAAACTTAGAAAGAAAACTCCTATAATGGTCTTTAAAGTCACTTGTCTTTTACTGCTTAAGTATTTAGTAATATTTCTTTGGAAAGTAATGCTATATGACATTGTGGTAAGTTATTTCAGTTAAGGTCTTCAACTGTTACATACTTTTAAATGAAGATGAATATGAGATATCTCAGATTAGTCAAGGAATTACATTAATGTATATTTTTTTTCCTTTCCTCAGGTTAAAGAATTTTTGAGTACATTGTGATCTCACTGGGCTACAGACGGCCAAATGCTTCCAGATTCTTGAGCTTTGTATATCTTTGGAGCTCCGTGTTCATACCAGACTCTTCAGAAAACCCATTTTGTTCTAAGAAAACAAAATTTTTTTTTATGAATCCTATGTAAAACTTTATGAGCAGTTTCTTTCCATTCCTTTCTTCTCTCTTTCTTTCCATCTCTTCTTCCTTCTGTAGTTTTAAAAACCAAACAAACAAAAAAAAAAACCAGTTTCTTTCCATTCCTTTCTTCTCTCTTTCCTTCCATCTCTTCCTTCTGTAGTTTTAAAAACAAAACAAACAAACAAACAAAAAAAGGACTATTTTTACAGCAGGAAATGTGGAGGTAGATGGTTGAGAATAAATAGTGTTTTAGGTACTCTGTAAACGACCTAGTCTTCTTCTGACTTTGTCCTCTCTAATCTTCCTCAGCAGGGTGTCTCCCCTGCCCCAGGTGCTTCTCCTGTCACTAGTGACAGTTTCTTAACTGGAAGGTTAAATGTTACATAGTAAGTGGTAGATGTCGTATAGAAATTAACTATTCAAGTCAAAAAGAGGAATGTAAGAAGTCCTTAAAATAAGGATTTTGAAGTTTCATTTTAAATATTTTTGATCAAGTAATTCCTCTTCTACCTTAATTTATATCGAAGACCAGGTTTAATGCTTAATTACTTAATTCGTATTTATTAATGTGTCTGTAAACATTTGCAGAGGAGCAGGTTAGACTTTGTTCCCAGTTTGGTAATGGCGGCATAACCTACCGTTAAAGTCATCTAATCCTTTCTCTACCTTTGTTTCTTCGTCTGTGGTATGGGTTCAATTTCTCTTATCCCTTCACATGGCATTGTGGAGTAAAGAGGAAATCTTCCAATTCTTAAAAAGAAAACTGAAAGCTGTTTCATGTGTAAAGATTTCAAGGAACTTAACTTTCATGTATAAAGGTTTAAGGAACTTAAAATAGCTACCTGCTTTCTGCTTTCTCAGGTCCTTATTTCAGAGTGAAAATTAAGCTTTTCTTCCTTTCTCTCTGTCGTTAGTGTAAGAGGTTGACTCTTGTCTTGCTATGTCCTCTCACAAGGTTTTCAGGATCAAGGGACTCCTGGCCAAGAAACAAAAGCAAAATCGTCCAATTCCTGATGGATTTGGATGAAAACTGATAACACAGTCAGGTCCAACTCAAGAGGAAACACTGGAGAAGAATCAGACCAGGTCTATAAGGAATTGCACACAAGGCAGCACATGTATTTATGTTGTTTCAGGGTCACTGTGATCTTATTTCAAGCTGAAAATGACACCACTGTCTGGTTAGTTTGAGATGTTTTATTGGGAATATGATTTTTCTCTTTGTTTCCATGCTGTGTATTAATTCTTGTATGTTGATTCAATAATAAATACATGAGACGTTTTGTTTGGGGAGTAAGAATGATTTGCTTAAAATACGATCATCCTTAAATCATTTGAGGTGTGGATGTACAAGGAGATTTTAGCAAGTTCAGCCCCTTAATGTAATTTTTCTTAAATTCCTTTCCATTTCTGTAGGTAATGTTAGTGGGATATTGTGAGGGCTAAGTTTTTTTCATTTTATCTTTTGTTGTTCCTGCACTGAAAATAAGCAGTCTTCCTTATCTTTCTACTTAGTGAGAAAGTAAAAGAGAAACTGAATTCAAGGAGCATTATCTTCTTAGCTGTTTAGTTCCACCTCTTATTTTCTGGCCCATTCTGCATTTCTTCCTATTTTAAAATTAAATAGAAGTTACACATTTCTGTTTTGACATTATGATCACTCTTTTCTTGATATTTGCTTTGCTTTGAAGGTTTTTGCCACAAGTTTTTCCTTTTCAGAGAAACAACTGATAATTCTCTTGCAGTAAATGTAACATATCATGAAAGCATGATCAGTTTTTCTTCAACTAGGAAACAAAATCAACAAAATAACACTTTTTTACTTATCTCTAAACTACTTATGTGAATAGTTGTAAAAATTTGCATGGATTCATCTGGGGTCTGTATATAATTAAAGAGATTCCCCCCTCCCCCCCACCCCCCCAGTTTGTTTTTTTAAGGTGTGCAGTGTTTTCCTATGTATTTTATCTTTCTATTTTAGGTCCATGATTTTTTAAACAAGTGGGAGAGTTACTTTTTGAAAACACATTTTCCTTTGTAAAACGTCATTTTTGTTCTTGGTTTCCTATTCAAAGATGATAATTCAGTGGATTAACCAGTTAACGTGCACTTATCTTTGAAAAGGGGACTTAATTTCACATCTATAATAACTGAACTGTCTCATAATACATATGGGTTTTTAATTTCATTTTGTTTGGTATAAATGAATTTGTCTCCTTAATTAAATATCTATTAATAAAAAAGTATAAATCTCATGAACTGCTACTTTGTATCATTTGAATGATTGCATCTTTTTAGAATTAAAATGGATTTTACTTTCAAAGATAAAATGATGACTATAGAAAGGTGAAAATAATCTGTAGAAATTTCACTGTGGGGGGACCAGCAGTTGGCGTAATGGCTATGTCACTGGACTCCCATGTAGTTGACTGTGGTTCGAGGCTCGGACCCAGTGGCTTAAACTCATGCTGGGTGTGTGTGCATGCATGCCTAAGATCCCAAGAGGAGAATGTAGGAGAAGGCATTGTGGCATGGCCATCCCACCTAGGGGGTGATTTCTCACTTTCTGTCTCTGACTTTCTCTCTCTTTTTTTTTTTTTTTTTGAGCCCGCATGTGCCCTATAGCAAAAACCTCTCCCCCCCAAAATAAAGAAAAGAAAAAAAGAAATTACACTGTTTGGTGGGGGGTATGGCAGGTGGTGTGGTGGTTGAAGGCGCTAGATTCCAACATGGTCAAACACGGTTTGAATCCTGGACCTGGTGACTTGCTTTCTTGCTTTCTCTTTCTGTTTCTCTCCCTAATCAAAAAAAGAGTAACAAATGGAAATAAATAAATAATTAAAAATAAATAAATTACGCTGGGGGCCAGCAGGCGGCATGGTGGTTAGGGCTCTGGACTCCCACACTACTGACCACAGTTTAAGTCCACCTGACAGTTTGCTTTCTCACTTTCCCTCTCTCTCTGGTCAAGTTTGAAAAATAATACTAGTATATAAAATAATTCTTGTAAAAATAGCTTTGTCATGGCTCAACTTTGTACTTGTGTAATAGGCATAGGAGAATTGAGTCTGGTAGTCTGCTTTCTCTCAGATACCATTTCCCATGTTGTATCTTTATCACATTTTATGTACCACTTATAAGAGATTAATATCCAAAATTACAAAGGTACTCAGCTCAATAACAAGAAAACAACCTGGGGGCTGGCAGATGGTGTGGTGGTTAAGGGCACTGGACTCCCACATGACCCTCAGAGTCCCAGACCTGGAGCCTTGCTTTCTCACTTTCCCTCTCTCTCTTTCTGTCCCTATCTGGTCAAATTTAAATAAATAAATGAATAAATAAAGTTAAATAAATAATTCTTAACAACAACAAAAAAAGCCTGATTAAAAAATGGGCAAAGGACTTGAATAGACATCACCCCAAAGAAGTCAGACAAATAGCCAACAGAAACATGAAAAAATGCTGAATGATGTCACTAATTATTACAGAGATGCAAGTTAAAACCACAAGGAGATCATCTCAAACATGTTAGGATGACGGAGTCTACACCTTCCCAGTCAGCGGTGGCAACTGCAGAACTGCAGGAGACAATCTTCTAGACAAGGCAGTTGAGGGAGCGCCTGGAGTGGGGCTTGGTCTGGCGTGCACTCTGCACCTCAGGAACGCTCTTGCACGTGGAACAGCTGCTTTTGGAAAGACTGCTGCCCAGAAGAAAAGATGTTTGGTTTTCACAAGTCAAAGATGTACCGAAGTATAGAGGGCTGCTGTATTTATTTGCAGAGCAAAGTCCTCTAGTTCTCGATTCACCGACAGCAAACGCTATGAAAAGGACTTCCAGAGCCGTTTTGGGTTGCATGAAACCCGTTCAGGAGACATCTGCAATGCCTGTGTCCTGCTTGTGAAAAGATGGAATAAGTTGCCAGCAGGATCAAAAAAACCTGGAATCACGTGGTAGATGTGAGGGCAGGACCCAGTCTAAAGACTACATTGAAACCAAAGAAAGTGAAAACTACCTGGAAACAGGATAAAAAGCAACCAGACCAGTAAACTGCAGAAGGAATTTAAACGCCACAATTCTGATGCTCATAGTACCACCTCAAGTGCCTCCCCTGCACAGTCTCCTTGTTACAGTCACCAGTCAGATGATGGCTCAGACACAGAGATGGCTTCTGGCTCCAACAGAACACCCGTTTTCTCCTTAGACCTTACATACTGGAAACGACATAAAATATGTTGTGGGATTATCTATAAAGGCCGCTTTGGGGAGGTCCTCATTGACACACATCTATTCAAACCTTGCTGCAGCAACAAGAAAGCGGCTGCAGAGAAGCCGGAGGAGCAGGGCCCGGAGCCTCTGCCCCTTTCCACTCAGGAGTGGTGACTGAGGCGCATGTACAAGGGAGTGACAAGTGGTTTAAATTTTGAAAAGACCATAAAACAACAAACTGACCTTCCTATTTTTCACTTGGATACCTGCTATTCTGCCAAAAGACAATTTCTAGAATAGTTTTGAAATGGATTCTTTCCCCCCTAGTCCCACAAACTCTGAAGCCAGTGTCTAGCTTACTAAAAGAAAAAAAGAGGTGTACATAATATTTAAGATGCTGAGTATTTCATAGGAAAGCTGAATGCTGCTGTAAAGTGCTCTTTAAGTCTTTTTTTTTTTTTTAATCCCCTTCTAATGAATGAAACTAGGGGAATTTCAGGGGACAGAGATGGGATTTGTTGTATGATAAACCGTATGTAGTTTTAGTACTTCTATATTGAGAAGCAGTGGTTGGGGCATTTTTAAGATGGCTGGCTACCCTTGTTTTCCCTCATAATAACATAGTTATCGTTAACTCAGTAACAGAGACTCGCCCCCGAGGCAGTTAATAATTTTGGAATATTAAGGTCTTGCCAAGGTTCTGATGATTTAAACCTGTACTACTGATTATTATTAAGTGGGGCAGACGGAGCTTTCTGGTACAAATACCTTCAAGGAGAAAGTAATTCCCAAATAGAGAGGGAACTTGGCTGTATATGCTGTATTCTGTGTCACCTCCCTTCATATTAATATTTGATAAGAGAGATGAATTTATGTGACACTTCTAAGCAGAATCA